TGATTTTTTACAGAGAGGAAGGGAGAGAGAGATAGAGAGTTAGAAACATCGATGAGAGAGAAACATCGATCAGCTGCCTCCTGCACATCTCCCACTGGGGATGTGCACGCAACCCAGGTACATGCCCTTGACCGGAATCGAACCTGGGACCTTTCAGTCCGCAGGCCGATGCTCTATCCACTGAGCCAAACCGGTTTTGGCTATATACTGATGTTTTATGTTAAAGAAAATTCCTGAGAATATCAAGCTGTTGAAATTGTTTTTGATATACTTTCCTATTTTGAATTTGAAGGGAAAATGTTTTGATAATTTAGGAGTATATTTCCTGGTTTTGAGTGCCTTTAAAATAGTCTCTGAAAGGAGGCCAGTGCATGAAGATTATGATAGGCCTTTCTAAGTTTGAAGAAAGACCTGGCGTTTGAAGAAGCAACTTGACTTTCTCTGTGTTGTTGTTGTTGTTTTTAAACAAAGATCTCCTCATGGAAGAAGGAAGGGGCAGTAAGTTGCCCTCTTTATCTCTCCCTGAGGGTGGGGTTGGGGATGAAATAGGCTTTTCCTTCCTTAATATAACAGTGGGATTGTCGTATTTAAAAGTTTCTTTGCTCAGTGGTGCAAATTAAATCTAGTAATGAAAAAGTTAACATGAGGCGTACCCATTCGCCTTCAAGCATATTATGCCAGTCTCAAGTTGGGACTTGCTAAAGCTTGGTCTTACTTAACATTCAAAAAGGGAAGTATAGTACACGTTTAGTCACGATAAAAGTGTAACACTTTAATGAAAAGAGCAGCTAAAAACCAGCCCATTACTTTATTATTGTTCAAATAACTGAAAGGTTAACCTGCAGAATTCTTTTCTGTTGATTTTTCTTGTAGCAAGTCTCACATTTCCTAAGAGCCATAGGAGACTTTATAACAATAATTATCTTGTTGTTTTCTTAGAATAGCCTATTAAATGCAGGGAAGCTCTTTTAATGACATTGTTTAGCCATTACAAGCCCTACATTTATTTTGAATAAAGGGTGACACCGTGGGTTGTGTTTGTACGTCTCTACCTCCATCATGCTTTAAAAAATGTTTTTTTGGTTTTATTTTATTTTTTTAAATATATTTTAAAGGAGAGGGAGAAAGAGATAGAAACATCAATGATGAGAGAGAATCATTGATTGACTGCTTCCCGCACACCCTACACTTGAAATTGTGCCTGCAACCCAGGCATGTGCCCTGACCAGGAATCAAACCATGACCTCCTGGTTAATAGGTTGATGCTCCACCACTAAACCATGTCAGCTGGGCTGTTTTATTTTTTTATTACAGTTTATTTTTTTCTTCTGATATATATTGTTAAAGATGTTAAACCTTCACACAAGTTGAAATAATATTTCATGTAGATTTCATCTAGAGTTACAAATGGTTAATGTTTTTCACATATCTACACACACA